TTCAGAAGCTTTCTTTCTTATTTAATTTCTTTCTTATTTAATGCTAGTTGGATTTCCAAAAATTTTACTCTTGCAGCTTAAACATGACTATGGTTCTTTGAGGCAAACCAATTCATTGCCATAATCTCCCTCTTTATGAACTAGATTTTAAAAAGAAAAGGTAATTGAACTGTCTGGATTTGGATCATATTCAGTGTAAGAGATCTTTCAGGACATTTTCCTTGAAGAAGGATATATGAAAAAAAATTGAGTTCTGCTTAAACATATGCTTTTTATATTTTAAATTGAATAATTTTTAAATATTTGTTACTCAGGCTAATGTCAAGCTGTAGATAATGAGTGACACTTAGTACTTCAGTTCCCCCTTGTTTCAGTAGGAATTGTTGATCCTCAGCTCTGCTCAGGAATTGACATGGCTCTGTTTCCAGAAAGACTTCAATATTGTAATATAAAACTACTGAATGTATTCCTATGATCTGATTTCGAAACAACTCCTGCATTGTATTCACTGACAAAAGCATATCTGAATCTAGCCAAGAATTTTAATACCATCTAACTTAATGCATTTTGAACTAAAAGAGCTTGTGTTGCTAGGCATCAAATTGGTGATGCATGGAAAAATTGTTCACTGAAACTATAATATAAGCCTGCATGTACAAATCACAAGTAGGTTTTCTGGATGAGCATGAAATCTAAACCCCTGGAAAAATCTTTATGTTTAGATCAAGACTTACTTTCATTGTACCCACAGATTCCATTAGTTCATAATTATATTTTATTTCTTTAAATGAATTTTAGGTAAAGTCTTCAGCTTTACAATAAACATAAATTTTTAAAAAAAAAAAAAAGTTTGCTGTAGTTAATGTGGATTATTTAGATTTTTATTTCCTAATGGAGAGTAAAAATATTTTTAGCCATGTAAAATTAAAATATTATTCCAAGTACCCTCCATGTAATACAAATATATCTACTGTTTAAGGCTTTTACCTGTTGCTGAAAATATAGATCTTTCAAAATATTTGTTCTTTCAACAATGACATATAGTTGACAGAAGAGTCTTAGTAATAAGCATGAAAAATGCCATTTGCTTTTAAGCTTTTCAATAACAATTTTTTTTCAAGAATGAACTACTAATGATCTTTTAAAAATGGGCTCTTTTTACCTTGAGATATTTCCTGCACATTTGCTAAATATGTGTACTCATGATTCCTACACACTCCCATGAAAGTCTCACAAAGAGCAGTTTGAGGACTGATCACAAATGGACTTCATTTAGAAAAAATGCTAAAGTGCTGTATACAGCAGTTACTGAAAAGAATTTCAAGATACAAGCCAAAAGCACAGTCCTGTTTTATTTAAAATTTTAACACTTGTGCATTTTTTTATTTTTGTTTACTTTGGCTTGCATTTTTAATTCAGAATCCTGTGGTTTTCCCTTTTTCTGAAATAATTCCATATAGAAGCATTTGTGTTTGTGGTGGGAGAGAGTGGGGAGAGATCAGCTGGCATTTTAAGAATGCAGTGCTACACTATAAAAGAGCATTAAAGAACTGAAACCTTTCTCTGTTTAGTAATCAGATGGTGACAAAACAAAATCAAATAAATTGCCAGTGAGATCTTAATTATTGGATTAAAATAATAAAACAAATATTAAAATTATTTTCATATATATATATAGTAACAGTGGCAAAAACAAAGAAATATCTGCTAATTAATTTGGAAAACTTCAGTTTTATGGTACTTCTGAAATAATCTTCATTCTGGTTCATAAAATAGTAAAACACAAAATTTTCTTGGAAAAAATATTTTAGACAAAAGGAAAATTACTCTGTTCCTTAATGATGTTTGTCTTTTTTCCACCAAGATTATTTGTTTAGGTTGGAGGGTGGTGAATTGCTTTGTGTGCTGCAAATATGTAAAGAAAATATAATGAAAGTGTGGAGCCTTTATGAATTTTCATGCACTGTGGCTTTTAATCTCTGAACTGGAAAAGCTTCAGTGAAACTCCACCCATTGCTGCCTTGAGATTTCTTCTCTGGCTTTAGTAGTGAAGTGGAGCATGTTCAGAGGCTCACCAATGAACAGCCTTTTTTCATTAACATCTCTGAAAAAGGTCACCATGTTAACTTTAAAGGTATCCTAATTTTTGCCATTCAGTACTTGCAAAAAGCATATTCATTTAGTTCCATTACTTTGTACCTTATGTTTCTGGATTAAATTGTTAAAAAGCCAAAGTAGCTCACGTCATCTAAGTGAGGTACTCCTGTAGTCTTACCCTCTACATAATGAAAGACAGAGAGATGTCATGTTTTACACCAGCATGACTCTCTCTCTGGAGATGGCCTTCCATAACCTTAACTAATACCTTTCATGCTTTACAGCCATCTAGAGCCGAGGAACAGTGGATGTACTCTCTGCTGCAGTGCTCAGTATGCTTGCAATCTTTGCAGCCTGTGACACAATCAGGAGAAAATATTTATGTCATATATGTTAGAGCTCCTGTAACTCTATAGTAACTTAAAATTTTCTTCTGCTATAGGAAAAAGAAAAGCATCAGATGAAATATCTGTGTATAGCAATTACTTTTGTGTAGGTATCCTAGTTTTCAAAATTCATAAAGAGAATAGGGTCACTATGCCTGGAAGAAATTATCATTTCTGAAAACCAAAGCAGAACTAAAATTGTACAGGTCCAAAAGCAGAAAATACCATTAAGCGTTCTTATTGATGCTCATTGCTTGCAGTCCCTGGGAAGCTCATTGCCTTCACAAATTATCTTGACATAGAACTTCATTGTTTTTATTCTCTGACTATAGCCATTATTTGCCTTCACTGTGCTGTAAATCTGGTTCTTTCCTCTGAAATGGGAGTTTATGCAGTTATTCCCCTAGATTGTATGATTTATCATAGCTTCTAATGAAAGAAATAATAGTATAAAGACTCATTGGTAGTGGAGAGTATGGAAACCCATACACTTATATGTGTCATACTTAACCCTTCCACTTTTTTGTGGCCTGAGGCAACAGCATCTAAATATGCCTCTGATTATCTTTTTTTTTCACATGATCTAGCAAGACAGCTATATTCCTCAGAAGCAATACATCTCCTACAACCCAGAATGAAATATATTAGTGCCTGGGCAAAAAAAATTATTTTTTGTTGTTGTTTTGTTGTTGTTTGTTTTTTTTTTTTGTTCAACATATTTGAGTGTAGCAGGATCTCCCTTGTCTTTTTCTAGAAAATTATGTGCCACTATCTTTCTTGCTAAACCTTTGCATTCTAATCCAGTATTTTTAAATGAACAAAGAAAAAAAGCAGAATATAATAAAGTCCTCTTATCAAGAAGTTTATCCTAAGATGTTTTTATTAACAGACTGGGTGGAAAGAGTAGAAATACAGGATTGACCAAAGCCCATAAGTCTAGTTGCCAGGAGTCATTAAACACAGTGGTGATAATGTTCACTGTTGTGAAAATAATATGTGTTTGTAAGTGCCTGATGTAAGTGCCTGATGTATGTTACTTAGATGTCATATATTTGCATGCATTTGTAGTACCTGATTCCATACCCATCCTTGATATCTTCATTTTTGCCATTTTTTAATTTACTGCAGTATAAGAGTCACAGAAACATAAAATTTAGGTGCCTTAGCAGTGAACAAGACACAAGTGCTGGTGACAGTCTACAGTATTTTGCTGTTCTGCAAAAGCATCTTAACTGGTTCTGAGAAGAATAGACTGGGTAAACTTGTATTCTGAATTAAAAAAAAAAAGTTTAATAGAAAATCAGCATTTTATTTTTTGACTTAAAGGCCATTCATAAATATTTCAGGTTGATTTGGTTTTACTATTTTAGTTTTGATGTTATTATAGAATTTTTGGTTTTTTCCTCATTTTATTTCGACAGCATAAAAACGATTTATCATGAATATTATTTAAACTGTGTTTTTTTAAAAAACTGAATTTAATTTTTCTTTTTTTTTTAAATAAAAACTAAAACGTAGAAAGCTTGTGATTTGCAGATAGTGTTGCACATGTTTACTACTGCACTATAAACCCCAGAAAATATATGTAATGTAAAATGGTAGTTGGAATTTTTTTTCAGTCTTTCTACATATTGAAATTCAATAATGTATCTTTCCTGACTGTCAAAGGTACTATTTTGGTGTCCTACTAGCCTAATACTGGTTGTACCAGAGGAAGTGCATTGCTTTGAAAGTATAACATTAACTTTAAGCTAATGTTCTTCATAAATAATTTTTTTGAACTTTTGGGTTTGCTTCTCATATCATAGTCCAAATTCAGAATTAGGTGGTGTGGATTTCTTTAGTATCTAGGAAAGGCTACCTATATTGGAAAAGTCAATAAAAAGTTAGTAATTACTGAGCTAAGGGTGTGGTGTCACCATTTAAGCCATTTGACAGTTGCCTAGTAAATTTAGTAAAAAAAATAAAAAAGAAAATAAAAGCTACATCAAGTATGAGTCAGGAAGAGAATTAATTACCTTTCAGTTTAGATGGCGCAGGAGCCAAAGGACTGACAGTTTGGCAAACATGGGAATGCTTTGAAAGTCTTTCTCCTTCAAAAGCAACACATAAAACAGTTAAGCCTTCATTGTATTCATGGGAATTTGGGGAAGTTTCTATTTGCCATATACATTATAACTTCTTTTCTGAAAGTATGTAAAGTGCATACCATTTACATTTCATTGGCAAAAGATCGTCCCTTTACTTAGCCAACGTAAGTAAAAGTAACCTGTATAACCTCAACTCTCTGGCTTTTACAAAACAATAATCATTTTCTGACAGAACCAGTTTGCAGGGTTTTCATATGTCCACCACAAAGAAAAATTGTATGTCATCTTAGTTTTATTATATCCATCAGCTGGCTGCCCATTTGTTGTGGAGTGTCTGCTGTGACTTGGGGCCGCGGCTCTATTCGGCTGTAATAGATTGCCTGCGGTGCATTCAGTGACTGGTACCTGTTGCTGGTTTGTTTTCCAGGTCAGCTGGCTGCAGGTACATGTGAGATTGTTACTTTGGACAGAGATAGCAGTCAGCCCCGAAGGACTATAGCCCGACAAACAGCTCGCTGTGCATGTAAAAAAGGACAGATTGCCGGCACAACAAGAGCAAGGCCAGCGTGTGTTGATGGTAAGAAGCAAAAATCTATTCAATCAGTTTCTGCCAACACAAGAGTGCTGTCTCCTAAAAAAACAAAACAAACCAAAACATGCTATAGAAGAAATTTTCATGTTGTTCCAACGAGCAATGGCAATAGCATTGAAATTCACCCAAAGGGTAATACTAATAGTATAGATATTTCAATTACATCTTTTTCCATTGGGAAATTTCACTTTTGTTTTAACTTGATATGCAGTTGAATGTTAAAGGCATGGTACTATTTCATTCTGCATGTGATTACAGAATCAGCAGTGAAATGGCATTCTTTTTTCCCCTACTTTTTATTCCTTAAAACATTAAAAAAATGCATCAAGTAATCCTCAAAGGTCTTATGCCACTGGGAGGCTAATGTGACTGCTCCTGTGTGATATTTAATGCTGTTGAAGAAAGCACAGATGCTATAATTGGAATACAGTATCTGAATGTACATCACATGTCCAGTATTTCGTCTCTCTTTAAAGTGATATTCTGTATGATTCACTGCAGATGCACTGATAACATGTAGCTGGAAAACTGCTTGCATACAGGGAGGTATGGAAATGTTTCACTTTGAAATAATTTTTTGAGACAAATTAAATTCTCTGTTACATTAACAGTGGGAGAGTCTTCAAGAGAGGTCTGCCCTGAAAGGTTTTCAGTAAACATTAATATTAAAAATGAAATTTGAGACATGTTGAAAATAATGATATTAAATTATAAGTTTTGATCTAGTCTCCATTATCAAAAGAAAAAAAAAATATATATATACATGCTTATGTATAGAACTATAAGCAATTCATGTATTGGCTTTGAATACTGGCTGGTTTGAGTCTTCAGATAAAAATATTGCAGAGAACACCCTACTGTTGCCTCAGAATTTGGTCGTTATCAGTGGTTATCAAAGAAGACAGCTCAAAAGGAGATTTCAGAGCCAACCCACAAAGCTAAATATAGAACGTCATGCACATTCTATTTTTGCATTTTTCTTTCACTGTTTTTAGTACTCTGTAAGATACTTTCTTAGCTGTCTCTTTCATAATACAATACTATATCCAGTAGTTCTCCTTTCATGTTTTATTGTAAGATCATAAGATGTAATTGCTTAAGAAAGGAATTATTTTATTATATTTATAATTGCAACTTTAGGAAAAGCGCTTACTACCAATTAAAATATTCAACATATGTTTTCTTTTTTAAAGCAACAAAGTTCTAAGCAAGAAGAAAAGAGTTTTCCACCAGCTGATGGGAACAAACCTAATTTTTCCTCAGTTAGTTTTGGCCTATGGTTAGATTGATTGGCTGTAACTTGGGTATCCAAAGGTAGCTGCTAATGACTCCAGTTTTCCATTATATCCAATAAAGACCAAAAGGCACCCTTTCAGAGTAATCTATCTCATTTTTACTGCCTAGGATAAGTCAGATGTATCACTCTTTGTTGCACACTGTCTGCCTTGCCTTGATACACCTGTGAGTGTCTTAAGATGAAACTGAGCTGGAATACACATGTCACTAAGAAGACATGCCTGCACCTCATCCTTCAATTATTACATTAGGTTGTTTGCAAAATATGGAAGCTTTGAGTTAATTAGATATTTGAAAATATTTTTTCTTTCTTTATTTATTTCTTGGGGGAAACTCACAACAAAAGTCTGTTTCAAATTCTGCTTGTGCTTTCAATGTGCTTGATCATCATTTCATGAAAAAAATAACTGGATGACAGGATTCATGTTTAGAGATCATGTAGTCAGAAAAGGTTCTTTATGTAATACTTTGTTGGAAAAAGAATTGGGAAGTTCATCAGTTGAAAAATAAAGCTTCCCTTTAACATTTATGTCTAAATACCATAATTATTTTTTTAATGCTGACAAGGAGTCACATGGAAAAGATGAGGAATAATGGGTACAAGTTTCTCCTGGGGATATTCCAATTAGACATAGAATGATAATTTTTCAAAATGAGAAGACTCAGCCTTTGAAACACCCCAGGGAACTGGTGGATTCCCCAGTATTGTACACTTAAGATGCAGTTGAACAGGGTGATGGGCCATTTTGTCTAGATTGGTGTTTTTGCCTAAAAAGTTGGACAAGATTATCCTTGTGGTTCCCTTCCTATTCTTTGCTTCTGTGACAAATATGGTTCTTCATTATTTTGTGAAATGTTTATAATTAGGATGTTAAGCCCTTTGCTAAGAATAACTGCATGATATGTAGGACATGCTACTTTATTTTCCTGAGCACTGTTGGGGATGTTTTATAATCAGAGCTCAAAAAGGTTAGTAATACCTAGAACTGTATATCAAGTGTCCAGACTAGGCAAAAGTCAAATCTTTGATCTGTAGGTTTTTGTCATGAATGAAGTTAAAAAATTTAGTTTTACATACCATCAACACAATTATATAGGAAGGAATAAACAAGCACTTTATCTTGTCTCCAAACTGCTTGCAAGTAAAGCTGGCAGATAAATTGGCCACAAACTGACAAGCATCCATCTGTGAATTTACCAGGTTCATAGTTTAAAGAATGAACATTGAATTCTTCCATATTTTTATACACATTTCTAGAATACATTTTTTCAAACACAACTACTTAGTGCTTTATTCTGAACATGATATGAATGCTGCATAAAATTATGTAGGAGAAAGCTGTATTTGTCTCCAATATTAAGTCAAACACTGCTGGTTTAGGAATGTAACAAGCAAACATCATTGCTGGGTTGTTTTGGTTTTTTTTTTGCAGTAAAGAATCCCATTTTTCAAAAAAACAAATAAATCCTTCTCAGCTTTCTTAAATAGGATGTAGAATGTACTTTTGCAAATTTTTCTTCATTTGTATTACTGTTCATGTTAAGTATGTAACTGATATTTGACATTTCATTTTTGCTATCAAAAAGGAAAAAACCCTCAAAAATTTGCTTCTTTTAATTTTATTCTTTATATAGTCTTGATTTCAAAGAGATTATTTCTAAAGTGAAGGTAAACCTTAGACCTTTAATGCAAAGTCATACGTGAAGGAAGCATAGTAGGCATAGTAAGTGTGACCTGCTAACCCAATAGTGACAAAATATTAGCTAACAGCTTTGTTGCATCTTCTGGCAAGAGAGTAGTTTAAGGATTCATTATTAAAGCTGGTAATTTTTACAACCTTAAAATACATCGTGTTGTAGCTGGCTATCATTTGTACAATGTTCAATGGAAGGAAGTACCTTGGAATATATTTGATTGTGTAGTATATTTCCTGGAGCTTCGAAATGCAAGTGTCAATTCTTGCAGCAAAAGGAGTAGGTAATTTAAGGGCTCTTAAACCTTACAAACATTGGGTGAGATTGAACTTGTCAACATAGCTCTTAGAGTAAGTCCTGAGTTGATTATCAAAATCCATTCTTCTTTCCACTGCTGCATCACTGAAGGTCTTTTCCTAATAAAGGAAACACAGTGAATGTCAAATAGATAAAACTGGAATTCTTAGAAATGGAAATACAATGTTTAGAATTTGGTCTGAGCAGTACATGAAGAACAGAGAATTTCTTGAAATATTTCCATATGATGGAGAGGGTTGATTTAATTTGTATTTTTTTCTAGCAGTCTTAACTATGGCAGATTGCTAATGTATTCTGAAAAAAAGACATCGATATTCACCCTGATTTAAAGCTTGATTTAGTGTTGATTGCTTCATTTCTACACCCACAGAGTCATAATGTATATTTGGTATGTTTGGTTATGATGTAATTTTTATTCATGAATGTAGGGTTTGTGATATTATGACAGCAGTTTGCCTGCACTTTTCATTATATTATTTTTATTTGCAACTGGTGTTCCCTAGTCCCATTTTTGAGATCAAATTCCATAGCAATGACCTCAGTTGCATTAGTTTGATAAGATATTTTATTTCAACATAGCATCTGGTTTATCACCAGTGTAATTTCCCTGTGTGTTGGTTAAGCTTCATCAGTTTTTAAGCTGGAACCAGTGAGAGATTGGAAGATAGCAATTATTCTTTGGTTTTGTACAGTACCTTTGCTAATTTAAATTTGTTTTAAAGCAAGTGATGATGAAAAGTCTTTAATAAAAGTTTGTGTACAGATGCACTCATGATTTGTGTTCTTTCACAAGAATTGTATAAATCTGAAAATAAGATTTGTTATGGCAAAGCTTTTCTTACAATGCAAAGTTAGTTTCCTGAGAAGTGTGCAAAGAACTTTTAAATGTTCAATAATTCTAATACTTATGTCTAATACATATTTATAGGTAAAAAATAAACTGCAATTTTGTTCAGAAAATAGAAACAGTTGATGAGAGGAAAAGTGGTATGAGAGAATTTGTTTATTTGCCTGAGAAAATTAGGATGGCAATCATTAATTTGCTTACCTAAATTCTGTGATTAGAAGATTCTTATGCTCTGGTTACTTTTATGTCCAGTAAGTGCTATGAGAAATGCCAGGAGATCAATTCCAATATCCAAAAATCTTAAATTTGGGCAGTTGTAGCTCAGGTAACTGAATTCAAAGTGTTCAGACAACTTTTGTTATAAATCAAAGTGTGGATTGATTGGTTTTTTGTTTTGTTGGTTTTTACTTTTTACAGTTTTAGTAATATTAAATTGCTTTTGCAAGCATTGTAGTGATATTGGTTTCTATAGGATGTTAGTGTATATAAGTTATTCATACATTATGATTAACATGCTTTTCAGTTGGCATTGATTGATTTTTTTTTTTAACACAGACACTCAAGATCTACAAGGAAACCACATTAGTTTCAATCAATAATTCCCTGCTCTTATTATCTCTGTGACTCTATAGGGAAGTGTAGGGGTCAAAACTGATCATTAATAGAATCCTAGGTCATGCACTTCAAACAAAACTGCTTAATAACGAGAGAGCTTCATCATTCTAAAGAGTCTTAGACATATTGTAGGGAGCAAAAAAAAGAAGTATAACTATAAAAACTAAACTAAACTAAACTAAATAACTATAATTACTTTAATCTTTTTTTCTTA